AGCCATCTCCCCAGCCCCTATTTTTTTTGTTTTTTAAAGGCTGCAGATGTAGGTCAGTGTGAAAGCTCAAACCTCAGTCACACACACACACACACACACACACACACACCCCATTCAAGAGTGCAGTAGTCACAAGTACTCACAAGGAAAGAATTAATGAAAGTCAGTAAAAGCAGGCCTGCAATCCCAGCGCTGAGGAGGCTGAAAACAGGAATCAGGAGTGACCAGGAATTATGAAAATCAGGGGCTTTATAGCCCTTGCACTCCAGAGGTTGAGGCAGGAGGATCCACTGGAGCTCCAGATCAGTTTCGGCTACATAGTGAGTTCAAGGTCAACTGGAACTACCTAGAAAGACCCTGTCTGAAAACACCAGAAAAAAAGAAGAAAGAAAATCAGTGAAAGTGTCTTGTCCCCTTATCTTGGGGGTAGGGGCTTGGATCCTTCTATTTGTGGCTCAAGGAAAGAATTACCTGGAAGACTGTGGTATACTCAATTCTCGGGTTACTTAACATGATAGCTACTTAACTCAGAGATGTAGTGAGGATAATATTGGGACAATTTATGTAAACCGCTACCACAGTAAGAACTCAGACAATGTCACAGTTTCCTTCTCTTTCTCCCACTCCCTCTCCTCCCCTCCTTTCCAGCAAGGCTCCATTCATTCTTTTCCAAAGACCTGCAGGGGCGTGTCCTCCCGCCTTCCAAAAGCCCCGCCCCCAGCCCTCTTGGGATTGGTTCTCGGGAAGAGGAGCTGAGGGACCAACCCAGGGCGGCGCGGTGGGAGTGGGACGCATGCGCGGGCTGGACTGGGTGGAGGAGGAGAGGAAGAGCTGCCGGAAGTAGGCGGTGGAGGTTGTGGCCCGGCGGACAGCAGCTACCTGGGAACTGGGGTGCGGAACTCGCGGTCAGCAGAAAAGGCAGGCTGGGGGTTGTCTCGGTGTTCGGCACCCAGCAGGCCGAGGTCTCCTTTTTCCTAGGCCAAGGGTCTCTGGTCCAGGAGCCGCCGCCGGACCCGGGCCTTTCCTTGAGCCGGCCAGGGGACATCACCGTGAGGGACTGCGGAGCGGGGCTCGGACGTCGCTGACAGAGCGGGGGCTCGGGATTAGGCTGGAGGAGCAGGTTCTCTCTGGCTAGGGAGCTGCTCTGGGCTGGGGCCCGGTAGTCCTCACCTCGGGCTGGGACAGGGGTCTCTGGGGGCGAGGGGGGCGAGTCGCCCTCTGCCCCCGCTGGCACCCTGGCTATGACTGGCAAGTCAGTGAAGGACGTGGACCGGTATCAGGCGGTCCTGGCCAACCTGCTGCTGGAGGAGGATAACAAGTTCTGCGCGGACTGCCAGTCTAAAGGTAGCGCGTCGCTCCCGGCCAGTGGGCAAGGGGTCCTCCCACGGGCCGCGCCGTGAATAGGGGGCTTCCCAGGCTCAGCGCGCCCAAGTCATCTCTAAATGGCAGCGCTTGCTGCTCTGGCTGATGAGCCAACCATGCTTGCGGTTTGGTGTGGGCGGTCTTGCGTGTGTCTGTGGGGGAAGAGAGCAGGATAGAATCGGGGTGAGGTAAGGGTGGGGGTGGAAGTGGCCTGGTGTGTTCAAGTGAGAATGTATTTCAGTACTCTGCCCGCTGTCAGTCTAGAGGTAACAGTCTCTCACTCGCAAAGCTATGGATGAACTGCATTGTGCGTGTGCCTGTGTGTGTGTGAGGGAGATAGAAGGCATACAGGGAGATGACAGAGAGGAAAACTGCTTAAATGTTTTTTAAGGGTGATGATTGTTGCTGCCTGTTGTTTCGTTAGCAACTCCTGTCATTTTACAGCCCAGCTGAGATCTGACAGAGTTTTAGGTGGCTTTCTTCTTCCAGGATATGTGCAGTGGAACATTGCCTTATGCAGTGACATAGTGCGGATTTCTAAGATAGCCTAGCCCTGGCTTGTGGAGTGCATTGGGGGGGGGGTCGTGTGTGTGTGTGTTGACAGAAACTAGCAAATTTGGGCTGTAGTACAGAAGGAGAAAAGGAAGCAAACAATTTCATCAAATTCGTTGCTTCCATGGTGATTGCATTTCTGAAGGTGAAATAGGATTATTGTAAATTGGCAGAATCATTTAGTCTTTGTTTCCTTTGCCCTCAATGATGAATGGTTTAATACAACTAAAAATTAGTATGATAGGCAAGCTTGGTTATTAGTGAAATGTTTGTGCTTGACATTTACAGATGCAAGTTGTTATATTTTGGGGGACTGTTAATTACTTTTGTTGCTATATGGTGGATTTGCCAGGATTGTTTGCTGTGCAGCATATTGAGTATATAGTATACAACAAAAATTCAGATATATTTTTATTTACCTATTTCAAGGAAGCTGAAGTAGCTGCTTAATCAGTGTTTTCACTTGATCACCACTTATTGTAGTTGAAGGTTATATAAGAAGGACAGAAATGATGCATTAAGATAGACACCTAGTGGCATGTTTTTGTGACCTCTACTAGTAGGTAAATGAAGTGTGCCATTAAGAAATCAGATCCTCAAACTTTTCATCCTGCATTTTTACACTGGGAAAAACTCAGTGTAAAAAAGTACTTTAGAAACATTTTGTGTTGAGTTGGTTAATTTCTTAAAGGTTTATTCTTATTATATTCTGTGCTATATTTGTCAGTAGAGTCATTTTAAAATTTAGGAATGTGCTGCATACCGTGGTGAACTCATGTAATCCCAGCATAAAGCTGAGGCAAGAGGATCATGAGTGAGACCCTGTCTCAAACAAACAAATGAAAAAAAACTTAGGAATGTGCTTTGGCTTCACCCTAATTCCCTATGTCCTTGATTGATAGAGCTTGATTCACAGTAAAGCAACCCACTAGAGTGAGCATTGCTACCTTTGAGGATCACATACCACTTTGACGATTAATAATTCTCCATTTCTCATATTATTCTTACATTTATTCTTATTCCACTAAAATAGAGCATATAAAAGAGAGAGTTTGATTCACTACTTCCTCTATATTTCTCTTGCTCTCTATTAATAGCCTTATTGGGGATCAGGTCATAAAGATTTGTTCTTAATGAGAACTAGTAACTGCTTGCTTGTAGTGTTCATTAACCATTATTGATGGTAAAATCCTGAATCCTGAAATGGAGATTCCTAGGTGATTTGGAAGGTGGTTTTTCGCGTTAGTTTCATCTTAGAAAGTGTCCCAGACCTATTCACAACATTGTAAGCCCACCTTTCAGGTTATTAGAGGCAGATTAATGGAAGGGTTCTCAGACTTCATGGAGGAATATCTAACTAAACATTGCTTTGCTTATGGGGAGGTTTGTGAATTTCAATAGGCCACTTAACTTTTTCACCTTCATTTTCCCAGTTGAAAGAGAAAGTGCCTTATAAAGTATAACTCAAATATAAACATCATTTTTTTCTTTTTACAAATGTTGATCCTATTTTATATTGGTTTTATTATTTTCCTTTTTTGGCTTTATTCATTTATAATACTTTCATTCCTGGAAGCCACAGATACAGTCACTCAGTTGGTAATTCCCTAATCTTTAAACCAAAACCATTTCCTGTATATGAGAGGCCTAACTTTTTTGCAAATGTACTTTATGTTACCCTTGAGGATAGATGGCTTCTGGATATTTTCTGATTTTCTATTTTGTATGAAAGATTAGATCAGGGAATTTCTTTGTGTGGAGATTTTCTAGTGGTAGTTCTAAATTTTAACTTCTATAATTAATCTTTAGCTTGCCTCTCATTTGTTTTCTATCAATAGTTTAATCCTTGTTAAGTATCATTCTTTAGAACATAAACTTTTATATAAATTTTTCATTATTTTAGCTCTATCTGGAACCTTTTGAGAGGCTAAAAAGAGTTCCACTAGATCTAAACAACAGAAGGGAGCTAGGGAGATAGCTCAGCAGTATAAGCACCTGCCTGGAAAGCACAAGGACCCAGGTTTGATCCTTGGTAACACATGTTATGCAGACCCTGGAACTCTGGGCTCACCTTGCTGGCCACAGAAACCGAGCATGGTGGCACATGCCTGTAATCCCATCACTGAGGAGGTTGAGACAGGAGGATCACTATGAGTCTGAGCTGCATAGTGAGACCCTGTACCAAATAAAAGATTAAAAACAATGTTTTTTAAAAAATAAATAACAGAAGAAATTTTGCTTCTTTTAAACAGCCTTTTCTAGATAAGATTAAGTAAGTTTTTGGGGTTTTACAGCTAATGAGCTTTACTTTGTCAGTCATGGTTAGATTGACATAGTTGTAGTGAAAGTAATTTATCAAAGTCTCCATTAAATTGTCTCTTAGTATGAACATGTACTTGTTCCTTGGGAGATAATTTACTGTTTTCTGTGTGTTTTAAATATCTTTCTGTGATGATGAAAAAAAGGGTACAAAAATACTATTTTTTTAGGGGGAAATTCTTTATAAGCCTAAGATCCCACACTACATATATGCTTTCAGAAAATATTTCATATTCACCTGTTTTGTGTCCGTGTACCATGACATACTGGTTCAAAGATAAAGTCTTGGATTTCAAGGACTTTACAATAAAAAAAAAAATGATGTAACATAGTAATCATTATTGTGGTTTCTTGTACAAGGAGAAATGAAAGCATTGAAGAAGGCCAACATGTCTTTCTCAGGAAGCCACCATTTTAAATAAACAATTAGACTGTATTTTAAAGGATAAAGAAGGACTTTCAATACTTACCTGGCAGGGGAGATAACATGATCACAAAGGTGGTTTTCTCAGGTAAGGCTTATCCATTGCATTCCAGATATGCTGACCCCTATGATTTCTCCAAATGTGGCAAACTGGGCTGCATAATTTGGGGGCCAGGAAGGACTTTGCTAGGTGAGGTTAGGAGACTTTGAATTTTAGGAAGAGGAGACAATGCAGAGATCCAGGGTGTGCTGTATCATGTGTGTTTATGTTGGGGGGATGTATGTATGTATTTTGACTGCATTTTAGCAAGTGGTGAGAGGTAGACCTTAGCAGTTAGTAAGGACCAATAAGTTTAAATCCTAGCTCCACAATTGACTGGCTTAAAGGCATTGAGATTTTTGAAAATGTATCACTCTATAGATGCTCTGTGTTTATGAAGCACATAGTATCATGGGTCCAACGGCTTACTCAAATTGTAAGTATTGTAGGCATGAAATGCTTTCTGATTTGCTAGTAGTAAAAATGGTGTGAATATTGTGCCCACAAGCTCTCCATGGGAATTTACCTTCATGGGTACCTTAACTTATCTTAGAAAACTCTAACGAAGGTGCCAGCCATAGATACTATGGCATTTCTGGAGCCAGTGTTGTGATACTTGAGGCTAAACATGGTCATATGCTCAAGCAGGTTACGTTTTGAGTATCTGATATATGTTATTTGTTACATAAAATGCTTAGGCTCTATAATCAAGTAACTGGAGCCTTACCTCTCTCTTGGGTATACGTTGCACTAATCTTTGTTTCTACTTGAATCAGAAAACTCTTTCTGTCTGCATTTTTCATTTGATGTCATTATGGTATGTAGGTGGCAGCTTTCTTGGGCACAGTTGTCTGTATAACTACTCACCACATGAGTCATCTGTTCCTGTTCTTCCTGAAAATTCCATTTTGGGAATAATGTCATGCAATTGAAGACTGTGACAGGCTACTTATTATGTACATTGTAGCTAGCTTTATTATGTTGATGAAATCTACCTGTGTCATTGAGAAGGAATAAAGTAGCTCATTAACCTGAGTCAGGGGCTAATGAGATAGCTCAACAGACTAAGCAACTGCTTAGGCAAGTGCAAGGACCAGGGTTCGATCCCTAGCACCACGTGTTGCGCTGCCCCCCCCCCCCCCCCCATGTGCGCTGAGCCAGCCTGAGTCTGGGCATGGTGACGCATGCCTGTGATTCCAGCGCTGGGAAGGCTGAAAACAGGAGAATCATTACAAGTCTGAGCTGTGCAGTGAGACACTGTACCAAATAAATTAAACAACAACAACTGAGTCAATCTCTCTTCCTCCAAATGATACGTGCTGTGAAGATGTTAAGCAGGAATCTGCCTGAAACACATGTATCTTTGCAGTCTAAACATATAATGCCTTACTTTTGTTATGTATCTGCTTCTGTCCATTACCACAATGATTACTTCTGTTTGCACAGCTGCCCAGTTTAAATAGATACTAACTTTGAAGAAGTTTTATATTGTCACCTGGAACTCTGACAGTTTAGCATACCACATTGAGAAAGTAGGGATCAAATCTACATAAAGTAGAATAGCTTAATGTTAATACACTTCTACCAAATTCCTCTATCATTAAAGACAGTTCAAGTATTATTTCAAAGTCATGATTCACCACACAG